CAGTATTTCAGTATTGCAGTTGACACAGATATCATCAGCTAATAAATCTGATGGCTGTGTACTCAGTTTGAAGTAAAAACCACATTTTGAACTAACTCCATTTGTTTATGTTTTATTGCGGATGCCAGTGATTGCATCTTATCGATGATGTTACTGACAGATGTGCATAAAAGGAAAATATTCTGTTGCATGTGGGCGTTTTGATCAATGCAAATATTGTCGTAAACTGGTGTCATATTCGTTTAACCTATTAGTCAATCAAAAAGTTTTTCCTTGTTGTTCGCAAAATGACGCTTGTCTAGTGGGAATTTAGCCCCATATATTGCCTTCAGTGCACGTTTGTTAGGAGGATTTTGCATTAGGCCACGTTATAAAGGTTATGATGATCGAAGACTTTGGAATCGTTACATCTCTACCTTTTGCCGCCTTTAAAGGCATTGAAAGTAAAAATTAATTGCAAGTATTTGAGTTACCCATCATGCCCCTTGTAATATAACGGACTCTTGCATAACCATGATGGGCAAGAAGAAATGAATAGAAGCATTAGGTGTTCATTCACGCACAAGTAAGGAAATGTACATTTCGGAAACTTTAGATATTTACTGAATTAGATTTTAGTTTGCTCTTGTGATAGGAATTTTCATTTTTTTTCTTTTTTCATTTCAATGAAGGTATATTATGTAGTTTGTTAATGTCAAAAGAGTTTCTCGCTTTGCTTCCTTTTGTAAGCCCCAATTTATGGTGATTTATATCTAGTGATATTTTGTCAAGATCATGATTGTAATACTTACTAGGGCTCAGTTAAATTCTTGAATGAGGAAGATATGTGTCACTTTGCACTGTGCATGAAGGCTATTATGTTACAAGACTGCATTATTGGAAAGATTCTTTCATTAAACTCACTTTATTTAGTGTATAATATTTGCAGGATCCACTTTTTCCATAATTTCAGGTGGATTTGGGGGTTGGGAAACCAAGTGGGGTATCATTGTATGGTATATTGAGTGCTACATACCGATTCTTTCCACACGTAAATGAATGTTTTATACCAGTCTTAGACTACTTATTGTTAGCTTATTGACTGCTACGTATAACTTTCTTCTGAACATAATCTTTCCTCCAGTGTTCGATACAACTTTCTAAGTTTCTCTAAAAAAAAAGAATCTTTCCTCCAGTGACTCCAAATTTCGACTAGAATATTTAAAATAATTTGCATTTTTATAGCGTAAGGAGGATCATGGAAATATTTATAATCTGTTATCAACATTTTGATTTTCGTCATGATCATCACTTATCATTATTGCAATGCTATTTTTTTTTAAAGGAAAGAGAGTAATTATCATATATAGAGAACGACGGGGGTGCTAGTTATCGATTATATTGTAATTATTTTGTTATCTAACATTCTGGGTCCATAGGGAATTTTTATTTATTTTTAAAAAATGCTATAACCATAGTAAAGGAATGGTGTTACATTTATTGGTAGCAGTACTTGCATCATTTTTATGTGGTTCATTGTAGGTTCCTTATTACTATAGAAGGTGTTAAAGATGGTTTTATATTATATATCTTATACGTACTGACACTCAGATGTTCGTTTCTGCATGCAGTATAAGTTCTTTGTTGATGGGGTATGGCGGCATGATGAGCATCAGCCCTTTGTAAGCGGACATTATGGGGTAGTGAATACTGTCTTTATAGCCAGAGAACCAGAGACCATTCCTTCAACCTTTAGTCCTGAGATGCCTGGTAGATCTAACATGGAGGTAGATGATGTCTTTGCTCGCGGGGTAAGGAAAACACTATGTGCTTGTATTTAAGATGCATACAGAACGAACGTTCAGTTTAGTGGTCATGTTATGAAGTTAGACTCAGCGCTATATAGATCCTTATTCTCTCCTTCAACGGGGATCCAAATTCTGTATATGCGTCTATGATGCGTTCACATTCCTGAAGAATGCTGGTACCCAATTTCCTCAATAATTAAACTAGAAAAATGCTTTCCTTTTAAGATGGAGAAGACAAGAAAAGAGTAGTTCATAATTCATTTTAAACTCAGAAAATGGGCCACCTCAAACCTCCGTGGCAACGTTTTGATTCTTAGAATGCATTTTCGTGGTAATTTGCATGTTATAATCATGCTAATTATGTGATAAGAAAAAAAGATGGTTTAACTCATGTTGGTTATGTTAATTTAATACTCTGCAGGAGAGCTGCATTAGATGATGTTAATTGGTGCATACCTTTAGTAGTTTCATGTATGTATTATATAGTAAACAAACTAGGCGTGTCCCATGGAAGTTCATGAAGTGTATATATTGGATCATGTTTCTTACATTTTACATGATACCGTGGTGAATATCTGTGGTTTTGGATGTCAAGATTTTATATTTATTTTCTTCCTTTTGTTGCTTCTTCTGTCTGCTTCTCCTGCCATTTTATTTACTCATTAAATTGTAGAAATCATACTGTTTTTTTCCTCTGGGTTTCTATGAAACAGTGACTCAAACATATAGAAATATTATCTACTATGCTGATTAGATTCAGAGAGCCCATTGTGTTCATAAACTGATTGAGATGTAGCAGTTTAGGGATTATCACGCAGAATATCATAAGTAATTCTTGTGGGCTTTATTTTTTTTGCCATCATAATCTCAAAATGCAAAATACTTTCCATGAGGAGGCTGCTAGATGTTATAGTTTCAAGTTGCAAAATGAGAAGTCGTTATCATCATCTTCTGGCGAGGTGAAGATTCTCTGCTGGTTTGAGGGTGGGATAGATCGAATCCATGTGAAGGGTGAAATTTTCATCAGCATCTCTTACCATACAGATGTGCTTAATGGGTGAATTTAAGGGACATGCATCAAAAGTTCTTTCTGTTAATTGTTTTTCTTCCATGAAAAGGCCTTTCTTTCTTTTCCTTTTTTATCTAAATGATGCATATGACCTGAATACTTTATGTTAACGGATGAATAGAAGGTCCTAGTGACGAAATATACAAATTGATATGTTCTTTTGTTATTTTGCTTTGCACAAATAATCACATTATCAGGCGGTACTTTGCAGGAAGCAGTTGCAAGGATATCAGAGGCTGATTTGCAGGTGTCTCGTCAGCGCATATCAGTTTTTTTATCAACTCATACTGCATATGAGCTGCTTCCAGAGTCGGGCAAGGTTTGGATACTCTACCCTCGTCTGGGAGCTGCATAATAAGCACTTTTTCTATTGGGTTAGGCTTCTAAATTCTAGTTCTTTAGCCCTATTTGCTAATTGCATATGATGTTGCAGGTAATTGCCTTGGATGTAACTTTACCCGTGAAGCAAGCTTTTCATATACTTTATGAACAGGTAAATTTCTTACACCCATGCATAAACTTGGGCACCTAAATATAGAGAATCTCTATTCTCTCATAACTATCCATACCTACTTATCTCAATGTTATCTATAAGACTGCTTTATTTTTACTTTATAATTTGAATTTTCCTTTCTAAATAACTTTAAACCATACATCGTTGGTTACTAGTTGGTTTTTTTAGTTAAAAGTATGACTGCTTACTCTAGGCTACTTTTTAGGGTATTCCTGTGGCTCCTCTCTGGGATTTTTGCAAGGGGCAGTTTGTCGGAGTTCTTAGTGCATTGGACTTCATTCTGATTCTGAGAGAGGTGTGTCTTAAATTATTTTGGTATCTTTATTTTTTCGGCGTTTTTATTTTTTGCTTCAAGTCATCTTATAGAGAGGAGATCTTTAGTGCAGTTCATACTCAAACCGAGGGAGAGAATGTAATAAGCCCCTACCAGGGTTTTTCTCTCTTTATGAGGATTTCTTGCCCTTTGTACCATTCTTTCTTCTCTCTGAAGAGATTTCTTTATGTATATTGCTTAAGAGGCACCCCATTTTTGATGGTGTTGATATTTTGGATCTTTTTGATATCTTCTTCCGTACAAGATTGTAAATTCTGTATATGTCTCTTTGTGGGCTGTACCCCTTTGGTGCTCATAATGTATAATCTTTTCGTCTTGAAAAAAAGGGAAACCATGCTCCTGAAGACCCTTCACCCACCTCTTATCTTTTCTGCTCTTACTGAGACAAACAATTTTTACCTACACTGCTGTTGAATCTTTGGTGCTCTGTTTGTTTACCTATTGATTATAAGGGCTATTGGTGCTGAACGTGTGGATCTTTTTCTTACTTTTATTAAAAAGGAAAAAGAAAATATATTCACAAGGCACCCAAGTGGTTCTGCCCATATGCATGAGTTATCAACTATCAAGAAGCAAAATCTGAGGTTCACTAAGGCTACAAACAAGAAACAAAATCTGGTCCTTGTTGTGTGCATTAGATATCTTTGGTCCTTGGGTCAATATTAACTCTTCAAATTGCAGTTGGGGAATCATGGGTCAAATCTGACAGAGGAAGAATTGGAAACACATACAATATCAGCCTGGAAAGAGGGGAAATCTCATATTAGCAGGCAAATTGATGGAAATGGGAGAGCTTATCCCAGACATCTTATCCAGGTGAGTGCTTCTGTTTGATGCCTTTCTGAAACTCTTATGCATGCAAGTAACTACTTATATATGTACTTGATTTCTGTGTCTTCAGATGTGAGGACAGATTTGATGACTAAAACTTGTTTGAAATTGGATTTGAGGGTTGGATTCCAACATCAAGCCGTAATAACAAATAAGACTAAAACTAGTCTGACTTCTTAATAACAAATAAGAAGTGAAAGTTTTTTTTTTTTTTTTTTTCATCTAAAATAAAACTTTTGTAACTAAAGTTCATTCCAGGAATAGAACTCAAAAAATGTTTCTTATATTTTTTCATTTCTTAATGTTTTATTTCTCATTTTTGTTTTGACAGGAATCAAAATCAATAGAGAATAAGAGATATTGGTTTCAATCGAATTCGATTTCATCAAAATTTATTACTAACTTATTAGTACATCTGATGTATAAGATTTCACTGGACCATGTGTTAGGAGCTGCTCAGCTTCTTGTTTGAAATTCTTTCTGGGAGTCTCTTTCACTATTTTGAAAAGGGACTGGACAGCTATCTTTGTACTGAAATTTGTCTTTCTTTGTTCTCATTTTTCTTTTTGGAGGAAGTCTTATCCTTCTAGTATGTAGTCCTTCTTTTGCTCTCTGATATTAATTCTTCTTATTTGTCAGAAAAATCTTTTAAGTTCCATATTTTCTTTAGCTCTTGGCTTCGTCTGGTTTTCTAACATACTATCTCCTTCTGTATGACGTACAGTTGAAATATTAGAATACCTAATGATTTTGTCCTCTCCTTGCATGTTCTGAAGATAATCAAGAAAAGAAGACCTTATGGGATTTAATATACAAGAGAATTTGATCATTTTGGTTTAGAGTCAGACTAGTTACCTTTTAGATTCCTGTATACAGGAGAGTCCAATTGTTTTAGTTTAGACTACCTTCTACTGTTTAAGGTGAAGGGCTGTTCCACATCTCTTGGGATATGCTATACGCTTGATGATTGAAGTTGATCTGGTTATGATGGTAGCTTTAGCTCAAGATATTGTGTAGGAAGGGTAGGGAATAATCCAGTTGGCCGTCAGTTAGTCAGTTGAGAGAGAAGTTGTTACAGGGTCCAATGTTTTGGTTGTGTAAGTTTGGAAATAATCACCAGTTCTTTGGGAATTTAATTGTTGAATAATTCTTTTGATATATGCATCTGGGATTCTTTTGAGGCCAAAGGCTTGTCTTTATTTTGGTCTGCCCCCATTTGGTGCTCAGATTTTTTTTAATGCCACTTGACTTATGCATTGTGCAGGCAGGACCTTATGATTCTATGAAAGATGTTGCATTGAAAATTTTGCAGAACAAGGTGTCTACAGTTCCAATTCTTCATTCGTCTTCACAGGATGGTTCCTTTCCCCAGCTACTACATCTTGCTTCTTTGTCTGGGATGCTAAAATGTAAGGCTTTGTTGCTTTCTTGGTTAAGTAGTGTAAGATGATCTCTTACTAACTTCAACCTAGTTTTCAGGTATATGCAGGTATTTTAGATATTCTTCTAGCTCATTGCCCGTTCTTCAACAGCCAATCTACTCAATTCCTCTGGGGACATGGCTTCCAAGAATTGGAGAATCAAACGGACGGCCATTTGCAATGTTGAGACCTAATGCTTCTCTATCTGCTGCACTGTCTTGGTTAGTTCAAGGTAATACATTTACTTCTTTATGATGCACATTTTTTGTTGGTGTGGGCCCCTCTGGGATTTTGCTTCTTCCTTGTTGCTTATCATGGAATGTGCTCACTTGACTCTCTTCCTCCTATTTTTTATGGTAGTATATGCAAATACTGCATTCATATGATGAGCTTTTTTCTTGTTTAAATGGGTCATATGTTTTGACTCTTCATATGGGTCATATGATGAGCTTTTTGTGATATGGTCAAATGTTGGATGCACGAGGTCAAAATCTTCAAAGTTGAACTCTTTTGTGAGACTTTGAAAGCTGAATCAATAACAAGTATTTGGTTCTTTGTTGTTCATATTTGGGAATAATGGGTGCAATATCAAATGTGCATCCTGGCATGCATTTGCCTATTATCAAAAAACTAATGTTGATTGTTTTGTCAAACAGTCCTGATTTCTTATTACTTTGTTATCTTACCAGGTGATGTCAGTTCAATACCAATTGTAGATGAGAATGACTCATTGGTGGACATATATTCAAGGAGGTAGTTCTCTCCTCTCGTCTCTCCCCTCTTCTGTGCTCTTTTGCCACTTCCTTTCCGTATTTGCCTTATGTTATCACTCTGGAGAATGAGCTATTTTATTCTTGTTAAGTAAATGTTCTGTCTTTTCCTTGACAGTGATATAACTGCTTTGGCAAAAGACAAGGCATATGCTCAATTTCATCTGGATGAGATAAGTATTCATCAGGTAATTGCTAAACCTATGTATGTGCTTTTGCAGTTTCCTGTTAGACTAGATGGCTGTGAGCAGCACAGTTGTGATTCTATTCAGTTGGATGGAGAGAGAAATAGTTAACCTGCCAGATGGCACCTGAATCGAATAGTGAGAATCCTTTTGATTTTTACTGTTGATGGATGCGCAAAATATTTCAATTTCTATATATTTGTTGTTGCCGGCTGGTCTTTGTTTGGCTGCTGAGGATTTGTCAGAAATTTGTTTGTACAAAATGTCACGTAACTAAGTTGGAAGAAAATCTGTGGTATGAACAATTCTACTCTTGTTTACTTCACTTTCAGGCTTTGCAACTGGGTCAGGATGCAAATTCTCCTTACGGCTTCTTCAATGGACAGAGATGTCAGATGTGTCTCCGATCTGACCCTCTGCACAAAGTGATGGAGCGGTTGTCCAATCCTGGTATTTTCTCATTTCACAGTCTCCATCTTTTCACAATGTTAAGACACCTTTTAGAATGCTCTTTTGGACATGAATATTGAAATTGCATCACTTTATCCTTTCAGCGGTAAGGAGACTCGTGGTTGTGGAGGCTGGCAGCAAGCGTGTAGAAGGGATTATTTCGTTGAGCGACGTGTTTAGGTTCTTGCTTGGTGTTTAGCAGGACCAGGCATGTCAACCAACCCAATATATATGAAGGGTTTTGTTGTTGCACAGCGGAGGAGAGAAGACCCATATGTTTTGCTGATCTTACCTCTTCACTCTGCGATACCTTAACTGTTCCTGGCAAGATGAATGGTCTCTCATATTCCTTCTTCTGAGTCTAGTCTTTGATTGGCTGGGGCCTCTTTGCTTCTTAAACCCCCGGCCTTCTTTCAGGACATCAATTTCGAGCCCAAAAAAAAAAAAAGGAATTTGTAAATTGTGAGAATTTCGATTTTCCTCCCCTTAAATTTTTATAATTTAATGGTTATCAGCTCAACCATATACTGCTGTTGCAGCAGGAATGCTTGTTTCTAGTGCCAGCTAACAGAAAAGGGAAAGCAAGAAAAATTTGAAGGCAAAAAGGGAATTTATGAATGTATGTAGGCTTTGTTTGGTAGGTTGTAGTTATTGAAGTTGGGGGTCAGTCCAATTCTGGTTTCTGATTTGATGTCTGGCAATTAGAGTCTGGGGTGGGCTTTTTACAAGTCTTTGTCAATAGTGAAAGATGGTTTGTCTATAATTTATATGTCAAGATTTAATCTTTTAAGGCATTGGCGTAATGAGAAATGATGCTTCTACTTGACTTGTACTTCATTGGAATGGTACTTCAAATTGTCTCCCACTGAAATTCCACTGTTGCTGAAGGAAGGGTGTTTGACAAAAGTCAAAGCAAGTTTTTCTCCAAATTAATTATGATTAAATTGCTTTCAATAATTTTTCTAGAAATTGGTCTGTAATTTCTTGCAAGCTTTTAAAATGGTTGCATAAAATTTTACAACATTCTCATTTTTTTAGATCAAATAATTGACAGTTCAATGCATTTTAATGAATATCAAATTTTATAGTTTATAAACTCTAGTTTTGAGTTAAAAGCCAGCCCCTTTTGCTACTCCTGGATTGGGAATTACTTCTTAGCTAGGTTAAGTACTATACTGGTCTGATTATAAAGTGCATTCATGTAAATATTTTTAACATGAACTACAATTAATTAATTAATTACAGAAACTATCAGTAATTAATTACTCAGATTTTCTAGATCTATCAGTAATTTAGATTTTAGCTTCATCCAATTTTCTTGTTTCAATCCTTCGTTTTCGAGATCCTTTCTTTGCTTTTCATAAGCTAATTTAGTGATGGAGTTTCTTAGATACAATTTTTATCAAATAGAAGAATTGCAATTGAGTGAATATATATAGCCAAAAGATAAGAACTCTATATTGATGATGTTAATGTCAAAACTACAAAAACATCTCAGTTACTAAAGAAAGTTGGAAAAAAAAAAAAAAAATTTAAAGAACTAAAGCTGGAAGATCTACCTTAATATTTACAATGTTAGTTGTGGGCAATATTAGAGAGGAAAAAGAAAAAAAGAAGAAGAAAAAAGAAGCATCAAACTCATGTCGGTATAAGAGCTAGTATTTGGGTCTTAATTCTTCCCATGCACATCTGTATCTCTCTATAAATTGGCAGATTCTGCGGACAGTAAGGCTGCAAGCTTGTAACAGCAGAATCTATTATCTGAGCCACATTTGTTGGGGGATACTGTCTTTCAGTACACATCTACACATCAGGAGAAGATAGTGTTTACCGTATAGATGAACGAAAACAAAAGGGTGTTCAAATGAATGAGTTACAGGAAGGATGGAAAACGGTGGTAGCATTCCAGAACTAGTAGCAGCAGTTAACGTTACTATAAAATAATTCAAGAAACAGCATGAATCTAGCTCATAATATAATTCTCATGCTTATGGCACTTGAATTTGCTATGGTTAGTGGAATAAATGACTTGTTCTATGCCAATACCGCCAAGTATTTATAGCAATGGAGTTCTTGAGTTACCTGTATCATGAGCACAGTTGACACACATGATGTGATAAGATCTGAAAGAATTCGTGTCTCATTATCTGAATCCCGCAGTTTGAAACCAACAGACATAGGTTCTGATGCGCTAGAAACTGACCCATTCTGCTGATTCAAGCTGTCATTTACTTGCTCTTGTGACCTATTCCCAGGAACCCTAGAGTAAGATGCTAATTGCCCTTTGTCTATGTCATCCAAAGCCTCACTGATCCTCAAAAATGCATCTTCCCCTTCGTTCATAGACGATACTGCCTGAAAGTGCATTGCATTAAGAGACAAGTTAACTTTTGAGCTCAACAAAAGTTCAAAAAAAGATCCATGATACCTTAATAGCTGCATCCACCATTGCTGATGCTTTTGATCTTGAGCCCTTGACAATTTTAAGTATTTCAGATCCTGAATCCTGAGAAGTTAAAGAATCATCCAGAGAACTCCTCAAGCAACCTAAGAAAGTAGAAGTCACTGAGGGCTTGGGTCGTGTAGGCGGGGGGCTGCCATGCTGCTGCAAAATTAGCAGGGCAGAGGAAACCTGAAATTGGGAAAATCAACCAGAAGTAGCTGCAAGGTTAAAAACACAGTTATAAACTTTAAGGGAAAACATAAAGCAAAAAGATAAATTCATGGAAGCTATATGCCTGGCTTTGGACTTCATTTAGCAAAAGTGTAGCAATATGCTTTCTAGAGGTTCCATTTTCTAAATATCGAAACCTATTCATTTGGTTTCCAAAGAAAACTCACTATTCCAGGCCTTCAATCTCAAGAAATGGCAGCAAAAATCTCCAATGACCAAGAGGATGGAGTACACAAAATTTTAGAACAGCAAGGCTAATAGATGGGAAATGTGTGGATCAGGTGAAAATAGGTCCAGGAACTAGAAAAACATAGTTCCTCAGATCCCTCTTTAAAGTTCATTTACCAAACTGATCTTGTTCCTAAACCATTATAATGTGATGGCAGTGCTGCATGTCGCAACATCCAATGCTTGTTTACTTCAAATGAGATCCCACACGAGTATAAAAATGCATATATCTCTTAAAATATAGATACTGGATAAGAATATATTATTGAAAGAAGAAAAAACAAAGCGACAAATTATTACCTTTTCATCTAGTGCACGATTCAGCAAAGAAAGAGCCTGTATATCAGCTTCCCTTGCTTGGTTATGTGCTGTGACACATGATTGGCTGTGCATTGTTTGTTGTGCACTAACAGGGCTAGTTTCTGATACCTTAGCTTGCGGTATGGCATAACTTGTATCCACCTGCACAGCACAAGTAAAAGTGAGTCGAGTTGGACCCCTATTCTAGTTCTATGAATAACAAATTGTACTTCTATAATAAAGGTGGACAGCTGATTAGACTTTGGTTAACAATGTTTTCTACCATGCACATCGTCAATGATGAAGACATTTGAATCAATTAAAATTCAAAAAATAGCATTCTTTTTAACACAGAGAAAAAGATATTTGTCCAATGACAGAGTAAGTTAAAATACAATTTTTTTAGAAGATCCGAGTATTAGAAATGGTAACTTCTAAAAACTTCAAAGATAAGTTTCAATTTGGGAGACATTTTAATTACAAAATATGAAACATATTTACTTTAACAGTCAATGCAGAAATCAGATATGCTATAATAAGCATAAAGGCTTTTTGGCTAAGTGCGTATCTCAATCTTGGAGAAGAATGGTAGGTATCAAAGCGAAAAAGAAGAAGCAAGATTAGGCTGCATTTTCAGTTGTATGCTGCAGTTATCATCCAGATTTATCAAATGTCTACAGAAAGACCGCTCCATGGAAATTTCAAGTGAATTTAACTGGCATGCAGATTTACCTGCTTTACCAGAGTATTCACGGGAGCGCCTACGCCTTCCAGCTGCCCAGTAAAAGGAAATCTCATGGACCCACTAAAATTTGGATACCCATTCATTTGTGGCTCTTTAGATACCAAAGAACATTTATCAACATCAAAGTTCTGTCTCCTCAGAGCTTCTGGCACGTAGTCCAATGGATTTAAAGGCATGCAATCAATATCCTACAATAAAAGTTCCTGTTAGGACCCAAAATCTGTAAAGAATAATTGGAAAGATTTCCATGTAATATTATATTTGACATGTAACAGAAACTTTCCCTTCAGTTTATTAAGTAACTTCAAATATCTTATTGTTGCTGCAACATCATTAATTGCCAATATAAAACGCAAAAGGAAAAAAAGCAAATAAATAATTAAAAATGCATAGCTGGATAAGTATAATATGACAAACAATTGCTTGAGCAATTACCATGACAAATTCAACTCCAAGATCACTAGAATCAAACATAATACTGCACTTAGTATGATCAACTGTAAGTACTTTTCCATCATGAAGTTCCCTTGTTTTTGGATGAATAGCAATTACTCGTTTTCCAACCGATAAAGGACGAGCTAAATCTGTTGGAAGTCCTTCCCTAGCACCAGCGCGAAGTTCAGCATAATGTTTTCTCACAGAATCTCGATATTGTTCAAGTTTCTCCCTCTCTTCATATAAAAAACGTTCAGAAAACCTCCGAGGTTTACCAAGAGAACTGAAAGACAAGCAGATGCACCATTAAGAATCCCAACTTCCAAATATTGAATAGTTTTATCCCCATAAATAAATGTAACATAAGTCAGGAAATATACCTTCTTATGACACCCCATTCTACCCGTGTAAGCCTTGGAATATGCTCAAGTCCAACATGAGTTAGATAATCCACAAACTCCCTTTTGGCAAACCAAGGGTAATCTATAGCACTGTAGAACCATTCAAAAGTGCACCATCTACGTGCTAAAGGACATGACAGGCAACGAGAAAGCTTTTCCTGAAATTCAATTAACACGTATATAAGAGCAGGCATGCTTCACAAACCAAGATTTCCTAAAACATCAACAGATCGATTTTACCTTTAGAAGAAGCACTCTTTCTTCTTGCGGAAAAGAGTTTGTATTAGGTTGGTTATTGACAATGTTGCCTGAGGAGCTCCCCTCTTTTTTGATTAATCTTCTGGTCAGGTCCATCTTCCGTTTACGTTGCCGTTTGGCTGGCAAGCTAACTGAGTTAACGGCAGACACTTGTGTAGTTGACATTGTCAAATCAGCCCCTGATGTTTTGGCTGGTTTCCACTGTTCTGACTTAGCAGAAATTTGACCATTGTGTTTCCCCTTGGTCATCGACTTTTTGTCTTCTTCTAGGAACTCCTGCCATATAAACATGAATGAAGCAATGGATAAACTAAATCCTAAAAAGAAAGAATAAAATATCACATACATATATGAGCAATTGATAAAGGAACATTGGAATCCATGACCTAAAAACCC